CTTTCCACTCCAAAGCTTGAAGAAAGCTTTGCACTGCGGTTAAAATGGGGAGGTAGGATGGGTTGTTGAGCAAAGCAGTGGGAATAGAATGGGAGAAAGAAAATAAAAGCAAATGATATGGGAGGTCATGCAAAATATGTTTTTCATTAAGATAATTCTATCCTTTCTGCCCCAGCAGCAGAGCAGTGGACTGCCTGTGCAGAGGTTAGTCAGCCAGGAGTCCGATGGTGTTGAAGGGTATCCAGGCTAGGGCCTGAATCTAGAACCCTGATCTCATTAGGGTACTGTTCCAGCCCTCTAAGCTAATTAGCTGCAGATGAAGCATATTAACTGTGGATGCATATTCAGGGTGACAAAAAGAGCAAGGAGTTATTACTGGGAGATGGTTGGTTTGTTTTGCTAATGACTAGAAGCCCGGCATTTAGCCCCAAGTGTCACAGCTTAAGACTTACCCTCCAGTCTTGCTGGCGCCTCTCATTTGTCACTACTTCTCTCTGGCCACTTAGACTCACATATAAGTCTGTGGGGAAATGAAAAGGAGCCAGGGAATGGATGAGGAAAGAAACTATTAGATTGATTCATTCACTCAAAAAGAATTTATGGACCACCTACCCAGTAACGGTAGCTATGCTCAGTTGCTAGAGATAAAATAAACAAGGCAGAGCCACGGACCTCAAGAAACTCAGAGATCATTAATAAGGGAGAAATGAGTGGGTTATGGTCTTGTAACCTCTCACAGAAAAGTCAATGAGGGAATATTGAGTAATTTCATTGTTGATTTCATTATTAATGTATTATGTGATTAATCAGCAAGCACTCATTAGAATATTTCTTGAAATGGGACTCAGTTCAGCTTTCAGTTGAAAGAGCCCCATCAATTATCAGTTTGAGTTGGGGAGAGTGGCTTCTTATTTTGCATTTACTTTGTTCTATTTCTGTCAAACATGAAGTTATGCTAAACTGAGTGTCTGATCATAGAAGTCACAAAAGAACACTTCAATCTAGCATTCTGATCAGTTTCTAGCATGTCATTAGGCAAAAACTCTTATATTTATACCTGCGCTGTCTGAAATACACTGTTGACATATGAATTCAGTTTCTCTTCTCTGACTTGTGTAGGACTTAGCTTTTTAAAAATAGTTCACTTAATATACTTTAGAACTTAATACATCTCTCCAAGTAAAATTTTGGCCTATGTATTTTTAGTTGACAGCCACTTGACCAGTATTTAAGGGAAGAAAGAACTTAGTTTCAGGTCAGAACAAAAATAAATAAAGAAAGAAAGAAAGGACTGGAAGACATTGATTAAGGGTGGTGTTAAACCAACTAGCAGTTTTAAAAAAATGAAAGAGAAAAAAACCAAAAAAGACAATCTCTGCCTAGACTTGGCCTGGAAAAAGGAATCAGCTTATTTTTAGCCACGTTTGGAAAACAGATTGTAGAACTGTTCTATGTGAAGACTGGTAATGCAAACCCTCACACATCAGCTATCAAAATAATAAAATGAAGTAAAATGTCACTGGGCATCAAGCAACAATGGATAATGCTTCACAGTCTTTGATTTTCAGGAAAATAAATAGAGATGTTTGCTAAATGAGAATTTAAAAAAAGGAGATGTCATCAGGGAATAAATAATAGTATCTTCTCATCAGGTTCAAAATATTTTCTCTATGACCAGATTCATAAAAGTTATGAAAAGATGACACAACTTAATTTCTTACCAAAGGTTAGGATGGGTCACTGCAACTCTGTTCCAAGCTGTAGTTTAGAAATGTAATTGGTTTTAATTAATCATGAAGTGGTGCCAGAAAAAAATGTTCACAGTATTACTGTGGGTCTTGGCTGCTTGAGAATCTAACAACTACCATCCCACCTCATTTTTTCCTCTTTTTTTTTTTTTTTAATATAAAGCCAAGAAGAATGGGGGAAGGTGAAGAGATGTTTTTCTTTTTGATCTAGCAACTTCTGCATAGAACTTTTAATTATACAGAAGAGAGAATTCAGCAAGATACGCACTGACATAATTATATTTCAACTTATGAAGAAAAAAAGACAAGATTTTATTTTAACTGAGTCTAACATTTGGGACACATTTAAGCCAAATGTTTATAAGTGGATGAAAAGTGGATTAAAATAAGAAAGACCTGCAGCTTCTGTGCTAAGGGAGGAAGAAGGTAGATGAATATTTAGAAAACCAGAGACCAGTCCCTGATCTGTCCTGCACAAACTGCCTGATCTTGGGCAACTTGTCACCGTTAGCATTACTTTTTTTGTTGATGATTGATTTGGCAGACAGCATGGGAAATCTGCTACCATTGAAGAGATTGTCTTTGTTTTTTCATAGAGTGAAATTGAATATTAGAAATTGGCTCTGATCACTTAATATTTCAGGATCTGTGCCTTTTTCACACCTGTTTTTTTTTTTTTATATATATATAAATTTAGTTTGTCTTTTCTACCAGACTTTAAGCTCTCCCCAGGTCAGAAATGGTGTTTTTGCCTTTTTGGGCTCAGCATCCCATAGATGTTCACCAAGGTAACTCTTCATTAGGAGTTAAGACTCTTTTTCATTTAAAATCATTTCCTGGGGCACCTGGGTGGCACAGTCGGTTAAGCATCTGACTCTTGGTTTCAGCTGGGGTCGTGATCTCAGGGTCATTAGATCAAGCCCTGCATTGGACTCTTTGCTCAGTGCAGAATCAGCTTCAGATTTTCTCCCTCTCCCTCTGCCCCTCCCACTTGTGCTCTCTCTCTACAATAAATAAATAAACCTTTGAAAAAAATAAAATAAAATAAAATAAAATAAAATAATTTCCTGGATGTAAAAAAGGCCTAGTGGAAGGAGGACGCTCTCTTACGGTCAGGAAAAATGGTTTAGTCCTAACCTACCCAACTAACCATGATCCTGTGAGGAAGCCGTTAACCTTTCTGTATCTCTGCTTTCTTATCTACTACATGGATGTAATGATCTTTTACAAGTACATTATAATGATTAATAGATGAGAGTTCTTTGACAAGTTTGAAAGTACTGTTTAATTTTTTTGTTACCATTAATAACACAAGACTTGTGAAAATACAGGGAACAGATTTTGCTCTCCTGGCTAGATGCACAAAAGAGGTAGCTCATATAAATGTAGTCACAAAGCATTCTTTGACACTTGTAATGGTGTCCGCTGTCTTCTGAAATCCTGAGTGGGTCTTGGTGACATCCCCTGTGGAGGCAGAATTTCCCCAGTTATAGTCCAGATTTGGACTGGCCCAGATCATCTGTAATTTCCTCACTCTGCTGCTAAGTAGTTTTATCATATTAGAAAGGTTGGCATTTTCAACTAAACTCCTTTGGTTACGGTAATGGTCTTGCCACTTCATGGAATTCATTGGCCTCCTAGAGCCCTTAAATTGCCATGCCAGAAGCTCTTAGTAAAAGAAAGAAGCTGATCAGCCTGCTTTCCCTCAAGTCTTTTAAACTAGTAAAATACATGCTTCAGAATGGGACTAGAAGAAACAGCCAACTCAGGTTCTGAGAAAAGAGCACTCACTGTGTTCAGTGCATTTAATTCAGGTGTCCTGCTCTAAGTGTCTGGTTCATGTATCCTCATGGATCGGCCCTAAGGACAAGGTCATTCAAACACAGAATATACATGGTCAGTTCCTGGCACAGAGTAACTACTTAATACTTTTTAAAATGAATTAACAAAGGTTTCATATAATGGCATCTACTGAGTACCTACTTTATCTATAACTGAGGGAGACACATAAGAAATCTATGACATGGTTCTTTACCAAATATTGTAATTTACTTCAGAAGACAGAACATACATATATGAGATATTTGAGCATTAAAGTGGGGAATTTTTAAGTGATAGAATGAATGATATAAAGCATACGACTATAAAAATTCAAAGAGGGGCGCCTGGGTGGCTCAGTCATTAAGCGTTTGTCTTCGGCTCAGGTCATGATCCCAGGGTCCTGGGATCGAGCCCCGCATTGGGCTCCCTGCTCAGCAGGAGGCCTGCTTCTCCCTCTCGCACTCCCCCTGCGTGTGTTCCCTCTCTAGCTGTGTCTCTCTCTGTCAAATAAATAAAATCTTAAAAAAAAAAAATTCAAAGAAATGGGGCGGGCAATGAAGATGTCTCTTAGGTACTGAAACTTGAAGTAGATTTTGGAAGATGGTTGGAAATGAGAAGATGCGAGGGTTTGGCATTTCAAGAAGTAGTAACAACATGAGACAATGTCTGGAAGTGGAAATTGGTGTGTTTGTTTTACTCTTTATTTTGGGTAATGGGGGATGGGCACATGAAGTAGGTATGTAAGAAGTAGGTATGTAAGAAAAGGATTATAATATACAATATACATTACAATATAACCCACAGAAATACTAATTAACATGTACCAGGATGTATGTGTAAAGATGTTTATTATTTAAAAGAGTAAAAATCTTAAAGTAATTTAAATTCCATCAGTAGAGGAAGGGTTAAATAATTTATGGTGCATTCACATCATGAAATACCAGGAAGTAGCTGAAAAGAATAAAGTAGATCTTTGTGTGCTGACATGGAAAGACATAATAGTGTTTAACAGTGAAAATGCATTCATACAATATTCGTCAACTTTGGAAATTAATTTTTAAAAATCAAAGTGGTATTTCAGGAAGATTAATGTGGTGACATTGTGCCAAATTAAAAGGGAGTGATTGAAAGTGAAGAGGGATATTGGGAGATGTTTGCGTCAGTACAGATGCAGAAGGCCAAGGATAGGAACCTGAATGGTAACGAGAAAGAGAGAGAACTCAGAGACATTCTGGAGAATGATTTTAAAGGACTTCATGACAGACTTCTAATATAGGGGATGAAGGAGAAAGAAAAAAAAAGTAGATTTCCAGGTATCAGCTTAGGAAATACACTGAAGAAATATTTCTCCTAACTAGAATAGACCCATTTTAATCAAACCTTCTTTAAAGAAAATTCTTTATGTATTTTGCTTGTTTGTTCATTTCTCAGGATGGAAGAAACAGTAAGAAGTCTACTACAGAGTCAAGGGCCTCCAGAGCAGAAAAAAGAAGAAACTGTTAATATAATGGTCTATCAGGTATGCCATGTTTCTTACTCTTAGCTGGGCACCAGTTGGCTTGTTTTTGTTGTATTTCTTTAGCTCTGTCCTCCCTAACGCAGAGATAAATAGACAAGTGTGGTCCAGACCCCGGTGCTGGGAGCCATGCAGTCACCTCTGCTTAAGGAATCATGTACATGTTTACTTATCTCCTTCATTTCTTGAAGTGTGACTGTGAGACAAATTGTAGATTTGGTTGTAGGAAGGTGCAAAAAGTCAGTTTATAATGAAACAGAGAGACCTATAAAAGTATTGTAGTACTCTGTGGTCAGGGCAATAAGACAGGTATCTATAACATTCTCTGGGAACACAGAGGTGAGGGACTCATTCCATCTAGGGAGTTAAGTGTCATACCTCTAAGAAGTATGACACTTCGTATATTTCAGAGGTGTGACACTTGGGGGCCTGAGGGATAGGGAACAGGAGGAAGGATGTTGCAAGAAGAGAGGTGCCTAGAGGAAGATACAGTGGTTGAATTTGCATGGCAGACCCATGGAGAATAAGAAGCTCAAGGTAAGTAAATAATGGCCTGGTGAGATAAAAATCTCAACGGTGAGACTGAGGGGACATGGAGGAGCTGGGTGAGGTCACACTTGCATGCTTGCAAGGGCCTAACCTTGAACCTTGGGCAATGTGGAGTTTAAAGAGGTCCAAGGACAGTAAGTGGTAGATGAACTAACCAGTCTTTGTCTTCTGATAGTCCTCATTCCATGGTTCTTTAACACTAGCAAAGCAGCCAGGGTGGCAAGCAGGGCATCCGATCTGAGCATGACTGAAGTTGGCCACACAGACGAGAAGGCTCTGGCAGTGTGGGGAAGGGAAATACAGCAGAAAGAACATAGGCACTCGACATAGATACATTGAAGACTTTTATTGAAATAAAGGACTTCAAATCACAGTAGAGAACTGATAACTATCGCACAACTCTGCATAGGGAGCTTAAAAAGCTAAAGAAGACAAGGAAGTGGGAGACATTTGTGGAAATCACTGGGCAGCCCTAGATTTTTGCCGGCTAAAAAGCAAGTGTGTCTGGGGAGGCAAGCATAGAAACCCCACTGATAAAGATCATGTCACATGATTTTCCCTGAATTTATGGAATCAGGGGTCTACAACCCAACTTGTTATCAAGATTGGGAGGAATCTGATAATAAAAGTCGCAATATTTTTTAAAGATTTATTTATTTGTTTGAATGAGAGAGAGACAGAGGCGGGGCAGAGGGAAAGGGGAGAGAGAATCTCAAGCAGACTCCGCAGTGAGCATGGACCCCCAATGTGGGGCTCAGTCTCACGACCCTGAGGTCCTGACCCGAACCAAAATCAAGAGTCAGATGCTTAACTGACTGAGCCACCCAGGAGCTCCAAAAGCCATGGTATTATATGAAGTTAAGAAATCTAGGCAGAGTTAACCTTATTAAGTTTATGCCCAAAGTAGTTGACTCTTGAAGCATACAGTCTACTTTATGACAAGGGGCAACTGTTCTCCATCTCCAGGGAAGACTGTACAAGGCATTGACTTCTTACCAGGGAAGGAAATAAATTAGCTCTAAAGGACAGTAGGAAGAAAATCACTAACATCCATTTCTAGGGGGAGGGTTTAGATTCTTCTTTAGGGGTGGTCTTTACACAAGGAATGCATGGTCAGCTTTTCCCGATGTGTGTTGGCCTAAAGTCAGGATAAGGATTTAAGTCCTCCTAGCTCTGGATCTTTCCTAGGTATTATGTGTGCTTTGGTAGAAAAAGGAGGTCTAAGTCAAACACGGGACTTGCTTCTGCATTAAGTGGTTCTGTGCAGCCTAAAAGAGTCCTGTGAATCCCAAACTGAAGTAAGTCATCCCTTCCTTCTCACAGGTAACGCCAGGCTCCAGTTAGAACTAAATCATTCAGTGTTTCTCTGGTACCTTTCCCGATCTCCTCAGGATGGTTCTATTTCACCCAGGTTCTTGTTTTCTTTCGATCTCTCCTTTCTAGTCTCCCTACCACTTATTAGCCAAACCTGCGGTGTCGACACATACCATCAGATTTCATTTTGTGAAGTTGGAAGCTCCTTAGAAAAACAGATACAGTTTTAAAAATGTGGGTTTTTTGTTTTTGTTTTTTTTTAGACTTATTTATTTATTTGACAAAGAAAAAGCATAAGCAGGGGGAGCTTCAGAGGTAGAAGGAGAAGCAGGCTCCCCACAGAGCAGGGAGCCGACACAGGGCTCGATCCCAGGACCCTGGGATCATGACTTGAGCCAAAGGCAGATGCTTAACCATAAAAACGTGTTTTAAAACTATTTCCTCTCTATAACCCAGCCTATTGGGTTTGAGAAATTAGCTCTCCTCTCTGGGGAGGAGACAGTTAATAACTTGAATGAATGCTACATGGAAGGGATTTTTCAGTCATGACTCTAATTGGCCTGTGGCTCATTGTCCAGAAAATGGGAGAGAGACATTGGTTGCAAGAGCCATAAAATCACTTATATGTTCAAGAGATATTTATTGGGCTTCTAGCATATACTGGGCACAACCTTGTTCTCTGGGGGTTCAAGGAACTGAGAATGAAGAGAAGAGAAAGAGGAATGTTGCTGGGTGGCACTGAGTCCCAGGAAGGTCCCTGCCATCTCACAAATCCTAGTCTAAATATGGCTGAGGGGAGCAAAAGAGGGTGTGCAAAATGCGCGTGGTGATGCTGGGGGAGCATGTAGTCAACACTTCCCTGAAGCCACATTCTTTGTTTCAGGTAAGAGCTGGGAAATTTATTGCTTCATCATATGGGGTGTTATTAGCACCGCTGACTCAGATTTTCCAACTGTGAGATTTCTCTGACAGGAGCCGGAGGCCCAGGAAAAGGTTAGGCCCATGGGAAAGCTAGAGTTTGTTTCATTTTCCATCATGGAAGTGTTTATCCTGAGGCTTTTGTCACTGAGTTAATATAATAATAGCAGAGTAATAGCTTCCTGTGTCCCAGGCCCATGCTAATTGCTTTGCATGCATTAAAGGCTGGTCATATTTTGTTCTAGGGGTGTGTTCCTGAAGACCTCTCGTAATTTGTTATTTATGTTGTTTCTAGCTTGCATAATTGAGCATGGATTCTCTCAAAGGACAGTGTTTTTTTCTGTTCAGCAGCTGAAGCAGACCCACCATGAGGCAGCCGGTGGTTCACAGTTTACCAGCTTTACCTGTGCAATGCTTGACTCTTTTTTAATTTGGAGAATTTTCGTGATTTCAAGGTTTGCGCACGAAATAACATTAGTCACATTTATATGTGACCAGTTTCCCATTTGCCTCACTCAGAGTCCCACTGAATGCGACTAGATTATAGCACCCTCAGTCCCCACCACAGTAGTGTTACTGTCGCCATCTTACAGAGGTGGACATAGGTTCAGAGAGGGTGAGCACTTGCCCCAAGATGCACAGCCTGAAGTCGCCCCCAAGGCCCTCGCACCCTAATGGGTCTGACTCCATGCCCTCAGCTCTTCATGCTGAGGAATTCAGAGAGACTAAATGATGGGGCCCAGCTTACCCAGCTGGCTATTGGAACTTCAACCTGGGTCTTTCCTCTTTTTATCTAGAGCTCTCTTTATTCATTCATTTCCTCATTCATTCCAGTGATAGTTATTCATTTACTTTTTACCAAACTCAGTGGCTTGAAACCACACGAATTTATTCTCTTGTAATTCTGGAGGTCAAAAGTCTATACTCATGGTGCTGGTGGGGCAACATTCTTTCCTCGGGCTTCAGGACAGAATTGTTTCCTTAGTTTTTCCAGATTCTAGCAGTCCTTGGATTGTGGTTTTTAACTCCCATCTTCAAACTATGTCACTCCAGACTCTGGTTGCATTGTCATATTCCCTTTTCTGAGTTTGACCCTCCTCCTCCTTTCCCTCTTACAAGGGATCCTATGATTCCATGGGGCCCATCCAGGATAATCTCCCCATCTCAACATCCTTCATTTAATCACATCTGCAGAGTCTCTCATGCCATGTCAGGTGCCATATTCGCAGGCTTTAGGGGTTGGGATGTGGACATCTCTGGCGGGGGGAGGGGCAGGGCAGGCATTGTCTGTCTGTCACACTTACATAGCATCAGCCCAGCAGGCTGGCAGTTCCTAGCAGACACCAAGCTAAGTGCTGGAGATGCAAAGATGCCTGCCTCACACAGGCCTTTTCCTGGAAAGCTCAATTTATAAGATGCTGAGGAGTGGTGAGGGAAGGCAAATAATCAAATACGCACTAATGTGATAGGGGCCAAAATAGCAGTTTGCATGGATGGGTTCTGGGAACACAAAGGAAGATGCCACCAAACCTAGCACGTTGCTCTTCCTGGAGGCTCTGCCTCCTGACCAGGACTTACATTTAATAATCCATTTTGCTTTTTTTTTTTTTTTCTTAGTCTCTGTTGTCCCTTGATATGGACCCAGGAATCATGAGCTTCTTCCTGAGTCCTAAAGCCTGCCTGTCTTTCTCAGAACATCTTCTATCCCTAGTTTTTTAATACAACATCTGACCATTAGGACACATGTGCTTGGTGTTTTACAGTTTACAAAGTGCACAAAATGGATCCCATTTGTTCCTATCAGCAGTCTCTAAAATAGACATTACCATCCTCATTTCTAAGGGTGAGTCTCAAAGAAGGCTGTTCCAATTCTGGCAAATGTTCAGTGGTAAAGCTGGAGATAAATCATAGACTTTCCTAAATGAGATACATGGAGGAAAATTGAGAAGTTACCTGTGGGGCACTTTGATGGTGGGGTGGGGAGCGAGCACAGACTAAACTCCCCGGCTCACGGAGCCCCTGTCTCAAAAAACAGAAATGAAAAATGAGTGAAAGTAAACGGAGCTAAATTAATAAGCCATGTAATGTTCACGCCTGTCTGTCATTTCTCTTGTGGGAAAGGCGTAAGGAAAATAGCATCTTTATGTGTATGTAGGGAAGGGGCTATACCTGGGACCTAGGACAGTGTCATTTCACTGGGGGGGGGAAACGAGAGACCCCAGAGATTGTCTGCGAAGCGACCTGAA